ATATAAACAGTTGACTTGATAGCCTTTGGATATGTAATCCGTGACCATGAAAATGAATTCACACAGGTTCGTGACGACTGACTTTTATTTCAAGAACCCATGCTGTGTTGTTGAAACACGCTCGTTAATTCTCTCATAGAGATGGAAGTAGACAAGTCGCTCGAAGAGTTTTGGCTTCACGGACTGAATCGATACATCCCGGTAGTTCTCAGCATAAGCACGAGAGCCCTTCTTCTGGATTGGAGTTATCTGAGATTTTCCATAGAGGAGCAAAATAACCAAACGAAAGCGATGAATTGAAAAGAATAGACAGGGGTTCGACGAGCTTGAATTCCTTCTAAAACTTATTTGTTAATCTGTCTGGTCCTGCTGACTTCGCTGATTCTAGATCCGACAAACCTTGTCTCACTTCTTCACGAGAGTGGCATTCGCCACATATCTGGAGAAGTTCGAAACTGCAATGTCCCTCAATGGTGTGGCAAACTCTGCCCAGCAGGCCCAATTACTCTACTTGGCCCTTGGAGATGAACTTCAAGGGATCATCCGCGCCGCAGGCCTCCGCCCGAGTCTAGCAGATTCAGGCTTCTACAGACGAATGGTAGGTAACATTTCAAGTTACTTCCGCGCGATGACGGACGTCAGTCCTGAGCACGACAAATTTACTGAAATGAAACAGGAACGTGAAGAATCAACGGTAACGTTCCGTGCCCGATTGGTGTCGCAAGTTCGGCTGTGCAAAAGGACCATATTCGTTTGGTCAGGTCCCAACTTTTAAAAGAGATGACAAACAAGGAGCTAGCCAGGAAAGCACGCATGTTTAATTTCGATACAGAGTTCGTGGTTTAGTCCGCTACCCAATGTGAGGCTTTCGCGTACTCGGAGATCAGCGGTGATGTACAAGCAGTGGAAGCTCCAAAGTTCAGGCAAATTGAAAAGCGTCCATACCAAGCAAGCCAGCGACAGTGGAGTGGCTCTATCGAAATGATAATCGTAATGGACAAAGATCCAATTCGCGTAAGAATGAGCTCTCCGATTGTCCCTACAATGGTACACCAGCTACACACATACACGTCAGGATACGAGAAGTGGTTCCGGTTCCAACCGACCGGGCAAGCGGCAGCGATGCTCGCGTTGCGATTGCCCCGCTCACAATGGAAAACAGTGTCCGGCGTTGAACAGAGAATGTCGCCGTTGTGGTCGGCTTGGACATTTTGAGGCAACGTGCCGTCAGAAGAGGATTATGGTTCGCATCAAAGCCCCCCAAAGCAGAGCATGAATATCAGCCAGCAGTACATCAACGCGCTTTCCTTAGAGGATGTACTCGTCAGTTGCAAATTGGAATCATCTTGTTCGATTAAATTTCTCATTGATTCAGAAGCGGACGTTAACATTATTGGAGGGAAAGATTGGAAGCAGTTGCAGAATGATTTAAAAATCGGCCTGGTAACTATTAGTAAAGTAGACCTTCCAAAAACCACAAACCTCAAAGCTTGTGCCGCGAAACAACCCTTATACGTGGAGCGTGTTGTTGGAACAAACGATCCATCGTTAGAAGCGGTCTCTCCTCGGAAGGGTAACGTCAAGTGACATGCATCTTCTCAAAGTGGGTCCATTTGTTAACAATTGCGATAATATAGAGGAAATGGGTATTTTCCCCATGATGCTAGGAGTGAAAGTAAGGTTCATTATAGACCGTTTCGTCCCTTCACAAAGGAACACCTACTATAACGGAAGGAAAGATTTTGTTTTGCTGTGGTTAGCTGCTCGCACCCTGAGTAGATAGAACGAAGATTGATGAAGATTCTGAAGATTTCCTGTAAAAAGATTATGTACGATGCAAGTAGATGTGAGAAATGAAATAAGATTTTTCGTAGATTGATTCGCTAGTGTGAGATTTTACGAGCATCTAGAAATGAGATTTAGATGTAACGCCCCCCTCGGGTATCATAGAGAAGGAAACCTCAGCACCGGGATGGATAAGCGGGATGTCAGCAGTTGCGAAAGGCAAAGACAACTTCAGATTAGTTGTGAATATGCGAGGTCCAAACAAGGCCATAAAACGAGAATATTTCAGGTTGCCGCTTCTCCACGAAATGGAAGCTAAATAAGGCAACATTTTTCACCAAGCTAGACTTAACCTGCGCTTACAATCACCTCGAGTTGGCTGAGATTTTTTGAAATCACGACTGTAACTGTTGATAAAGAGGTTGATTACATATATAAATGTATTTACTATTGTTTACTTTTGCCAAGCATCACCGAAAATAAACAACATCAAGGACTCTAGACTACCTAATTTTTTGAGAGAAGAAGTGAGATGTGGGATACACCCTAAGCATAGAGAAATGCTCACAGCAACACACCTTACCGTAGCTGTCAATTGACGCTGGCAGGGTTAAGAGAAATACAACATCTGGCAACACTGCTAGCTTCGTCGTTGGTTGGCCTCACCGTTATTCGTCCTCTTTTTCCAACTGGCCATCAGACAGGTAAGACGTGGTTAGCGGTCTTCCGTTGTCGCTGGACAATTCATGCGTTTGGTCAACCAGCTGAACTTCACACTGTCAATTGGAAGAAGTCCTGTTTTCATACTTTGCCACCTCCGGAATTCCGATGTTTTTACTTCTACTATTCACGAACTTCCAAAAAGATTTCGGATTTTCTTTAATCCCATTCTGAATCCCAGTTTTATGTATACTTGATACGCTTCTCTGTGGAACACTTTGAACGTTCCCAGTAGCTGTTTGTAGTGTTTGTAGTTCCCAGTAGTTGCGCTTGACATAGACGGCCCACAGCAACTCACGAAGAGCTACTGATTCCGATCAATAGCGTTGCGGCTTCTTCCTCCTTCTGTGGATGCTCACGTGGGCTGCAGCTTGCAGGCAGCCTTTCGTTGTGTACTGGAGAACACCACCACTCACCACGAACGATAACCCAAATCATTGAACTATTCCACAAATGGTTTGGATGTACCCTGAACACGTCGTTAAGCAAATTACCCATACAAATTTTATTAGGGATTGAATAAACACCGTTCAGTGAGACCGGATGGAATTCAACTTTGAAATCTGTGTTAGGGAAATCGCTTCTCGTAGGCAATCGGTGATAATTTTAACTATGATAACAACAGTTGCACATTTGTGCAATTTTCAATAGTGACATTTTGAAAAATGATAGTCCTAATTTTAATAGATTCGTAGAAATTCCTATCGATTGGCGTATTAAGAATTAAAATCCATGATCACTGGATCAAAATCAGACCAGTTTCATGCCACGACCGACTTTGGTTTTTGAAATAGCACCCCCAATGTTGCCTTCAAGAACATGGTATGTCAGATTTAAACATACCTAGATATAGCTGGAATTAGGCGTAACAGCTTTTGTAACTTCTCTCGATGATTTTTAGGAATTAAAGGCACGCCCACGTAAACTAACATTACCAAGTCTTACAATACCTGATGGTGATGTTGATTTGCGTGGGCGAGCCTTGACTTTCAAGACATCATCGAAAGAAGTCATTGCTTACAAAGGCTATTACGCCCTAATTCCAGCTCTATCTTGATATGGGAACTGACATTCGATTGATGAACTTGACAAATGTCCAAAAAATACTCATTTACAAATTTATGGTGGTCCTGAAAAGGACCGTTTTGTCGTGATGGTTGAGTAATGCTGATCTATTATGATGCTAAACACCGATGAGGCTGGTGAGCTGTATGTTATTTGAAATGAGGGTGACGCGCTTGGCATAGATGGCCCACAGCGACTCACGATGAGCTACTGATTCCGATCAATAGCGGTGCGGCATCTTCCTCCTTCCATGGATGCTCAAGTGAGCTGTAGCTCGCTGCTTGCAAGCTGCCTTTCGTTGTGTACTGGAGAACACCACCACTCACCACACGGTGATTGAATAAACACCGTTTGGTGACGCCGGATGCAATTCAACTATGAAATCTGTGTTAGGGAAATTAGGGCTTTTCGCAGGGGTGATAATTTCAATTATCATATCAATAGTTGCGCATTCATGAAATTTTCAATAGTGACATTTTGAAAAATGATAAAGTCTTAAATTTAATAGACGCGTAGGAATATTTTTGATCAATTGGTAATAAAATTATTGAATTTGGTCCAGGAGCAGCTGAGTTATTAACGTTAAATATCTTTCATAATTTTGTAAATTTTTCCATTTTCGGTTTTCACAAAGTGTACCCCCATATAGAAGTCACAGACATAGTACTACGTCAAAAATCAAAAATTATCTTAGCAATTCTTCAAAGTGACTACACTGGATCACCAACAGTGTTAAACATTTTTCAAGGTCCAAAATTTATTTTTTTTAAAGAGAAGACAAAGTTTATTTTTGTTTCTGATTTGTCATCGAAATTCACGGGTTATTCCCAGTTTTTCCCGATTCACTGAAAACGTCCCGACATCTAGCTGATATTGGTAGTTCTAGTAGGAGAAGCCGCTAGTGGAAAGTCCCGTTTTTCTCCAGAACACCGGCAGCCCACCGACAAGATCTTTTCTTCAGGGTCCGACGTCCGCGGGTACGTGTATGAAAAATTCCTGCGTTTCCATTGACGGTAGTGTCCGTTTGCATCCTGCGATCGGTCTTCGGCAAGGAAGATTTTCGCTACCGTAAGGTGGGTCTAGCAAATTCAACAAAGCATCAAAAGCATTCCTGGCCGAACAAGAAGAATCAGTCGTAGGCGACATCTTCAACCTGTCTGAAGATACTTCTTGAGTAGATTTTCATTGACATTCCCCAAGGAGATGAACTTTAAAAGTTCTCGGAAACTGCCCTAATGACTCCTTGACTTCTTCATTCCAATTCCAATCTCTATATAAAGTTGGCGTACGTTCCAGTACTGGACCGTTTCGAGTGCGAGTTAACAGAGGATATCCTCCACATTCCGTTATATTACATTTGTTCGTAAGACTAACTGATATCGTACTTAAATATGTCGTAAATCTAAAGGTCAGAACAAAATCCCAATTACCGATTTTCGTGGTATAGTTTATGGCGCCAAATATCAACTCCGGTGCCCGGTAGTATCGTGAGCAGATGTACGACACATTCGGTTCTCCATGCAGCAGCTGCTTGGCGCTGCCAAAGTCGCAGAGCTTCAGCACGGCCGTTTCCGGATCCAGCAGCAGGTTCTGGGGTTTGATGTCACGATGACAAATACCGAGCGAGTGGATGTAAGCGAGACTTCTGAACAGCTGGTACATATAGAGCTGCAAATGCGAAAAGAGATGATGACGTTATAGTATGCCTAGCCCTTAAGAAGCTAACAGTGACCCCCCCTTCAACTTACCCTGATAAAATTGATTGGTATCGTTTGTTTGTTTTTAGCATAATAACGAGCCACTTTGTAAACGGTTTCTGGAATATATTCGAGCACTAGGTTGAGATAAACTTCGTCTTTCTGTAAAGGAAAAAAAAGGCAAACAGAACAGAATGAAACAATTTATTAGCACATTTGAATCACAAATCAACTCCTCTGAATCAACCGAACAATACACGCTAGCAATAAATATGGACAAATGTGACTGCTGCTGAGAAATGGAGATGGAATCAATTCGAATGCATTTTGTGTGTGTGTGTGTGCATTTGGTGCATCATCATCGTGGTCACGAAGCATTTCAATGAGCAATTCCACCCGTATTAAAGTCAAATGTGAAATTCAATCCAGGAACAAAAGGGGGAAAAAAGTAACACGTGGATTATTAGTAGTGTTCGCATCTCTGCAGTTAGTTAGTACCGAGGGGAGGTTGGAACTAAAAACTACACAACATTAGCAACGGCAGCAGGCTTCCTTTCGGAATGGATTTAGGCGCACTATGTACTGTCAGGTCGATTTCAATGGGAAGCAGGGAGGAACCCGACCAGAAAAGGAAAACCGGGTCCGCTGAACGGATCGCTGCTTTTCGCTTTCGGTCGGTTTCCCAAAATCGTGAAAGTAAATCAAGCATTTTCCGTTTGGACAAATCCATCAGGGAAAAGGAAAAAATGAAACGCTTCAACAACAAACGACTGGCTGGCGGTAGATTTCTGTAATAGCGCGCTTGTCCGGTGGACGACTGTTGCTACCTGTGATTGCAATGCACTGCTGAAAATGCCCATCTCGATGGGGAAATCTTCGCGCTGCTGGCGACGGAGAACAGGACGGTTCGTGGATGGTTGTTGTCGGAGAAAATCGTTATTTTGTTTCGTTTTCGATACCAAAAAACGCGACACAGTTAGGAAGATAGAAGTGGTAGTTGTTGATTGGTTTTTTTGGTGTAGAGTTGGTTAAACAGAAGATGGTGCGGAATTCGAACAAAAGAAATAGTTAGAAAAGAGAAAAGAGAGATAAAATCAGAATTAAACAATGGTCAACCTAGATGGATTAGGGGAGCATTCATAGAGGAAGCCGCGCATTTTTCCTGTACCTACGTGTTGCACGCGGCTGTCAGCGGTTCTGAGTTTTCCTCACATACACAGAGAGAGAGAGACAGAGAAAGACGTAGTTTATGAATGCTTCCTTAATCGAAATCAACGGATGTGGTTATGGGAAAGCACATGAAGCTGGGTTTGGCTAAGGAAGCGAAGATAGAAGTATAATTGTGAAAGGCGGAACTAGCTTTGGTGTTAGATGGCTGACGCATAACTGTATTGTTGAGACAATATTGGATGTGTGGTAGGCCACAAATTTGAGAAAAATCTACTAACAAGGTATAATGTATATCTATTTATTATAACAATGGGAGCTATTTAGATGATAACCAAATGGTATATAAAGTACAACTATGGCTAAAAAGTACAAATACGTGCATATTAAAGTTACATTATAAACGGTTTGAATTTATATTATTTTTTTTTTTCAATAATTCAGTTTGACAAACCGATTTATTTTTCACTATTGTACGATGTAAAAAAGATTAATAGATAATAAATCGGAAACTTACATTATATACACACTTGGAAATTATTACCGACTTCGGTAATTTGACCCTCATTTCAAAAGCTATTTACCTAAATTTCAGTTTCAAAACATTTTCAGCCTTGCTTAAATAATTATAGAATCATGAAATCCTAAAACTAACCAATTAAAATTCCTGCATTATAACGTAACAGTTCAGATGTTGAACAATCGGTAATAATGTCTAACTGTATATGGAGCATTTCGACGAATCGGAAAAACTCGACTTTATCCGAATTGCATGAAACTTTACTACTGTGTTATGGACAATCATTCTCATTTCGGCCATTTTGGATGTTGGATTTTATTTCAAAATGGTGTCTTTGTCATTTTTCAATAAATTGTAGCACGGAAACGCCACTTCTGATCAAAATGAAGGCTGAGACAAAGTTGTAGAGAATAATATTATAATTTATTAGATTTGTTTTAAGTAATTTTGAGTGCCAATTAATTTTTTTTATTATCGCCAGAGCGTTAATTGGGTCATTCGTAACTTGTCCGGGGGTGAGATTTGAACTCGTGACTTTGGCGTGAGAGATATGGATGCTAACCACTACGCCGGGGTCGCAAAAAAAATTAAAAACATATCAAACAGGGGAAATGGCTCTAATGTTGGCCTATGGATCTAAGATTGGGCCCATCGCTAAAAATCTGCTAATTATCAATTTTATCTAGATGAACGCTACTAATGGATATTTTTGGTAGCTATTGTAAATTTAGTCGATTGCTGAATTTATGGTCTGGGGCTATGGGGCCTCATAGCCTAGTCAGTAATGGCACGGTATTAACAAACCGGAGGCGGCGGGTTCAATTCCCGGTCCGGTCGAGGGAATCTTTCGGGTTGGAAATTTTCTCGACTTCCCTGGGCATAGAGTATCATTGTGCTTGCCACACAATATACAAATTCGCATTGGTATTGGCATCGAAAGCTCTCAATTAATAACTGTGGAAGTGCATTTAGAACACTAAGCTGAGAGCACGCAGTAAGCTAATATGCGCTAAGCAATAAGCTTGAAATGCGAACAAGAAGAAGAAGGTGAATTTATGTATGGGCCCAAATTAGGGGCATTTAGGCCGACATTACATCCATTTCCTCTATCTCAAAAGTTATATCTTATATTTTTATAATTTTTTTAAACGCGAAAAATTTAAACTTTGGATTTGGACATGCTAAATAATGATTCGACAATGACCAATTCCCATACATTTTTATATGGCGTCCATATATTTATTTCCGAAGGAGAAAAATACAATTCCATTTATTTCTCCTACGTTGTACATTATGTAATTGGTTCTTTCTCAGGCTCATATTGTAGAATCATAATGTGGCTTCCAAACGTACATGATTTAGAATTTCTCTGATTATTAAAATTGGGAGGAGCCATGCTTTTTAAAGTGTCGTAATATTAATTTCCACTAGTGTATTTAAAACAATGGACAGTTGAAAATTTACAAAAATCGTACAACCATAACTTTTGGACAAATTTTTCAACTTTTAGCTAGTACGTTGTTTTATTTAATTTCTGTACAGGAAACAATATTTGAGATATTCCAAATTGTGATCTGTGCCAAAATTACATAAAAAAAGTTTTGTTCTCTCGAACGGTATTGAAGTCGCTCGGATTCCTGATGGCGGTGTGAAACAGCTTCAAGCTGCAAAGTTTATTAACTTTAGATTGATTATCTTAAGCGGGGTTATGAGCAGTTAGTGCGCTTATACTAATACATAACAATTATTCAATTTGGATTCGAAATTGACCTCAATGTTCCTAATTAGGTTATATTAATAATCATAGCAAACTAATAAATTAAGACAATTACCACGTGAAAGGTATTGTCTACCGGGTAATTTTAGGGTTAACAACCCTAGGCGCCGTTTAATACAGCTCATGGATAGAAAACTTTATGACAACAACTTTGCTGAAAAGAATAATTATAATTCCATTAAAATCTTTATATATTTGCAATGTCATACAACAACAGTCAATAACTATGAATTATTAGAAGAAATAACCAAGTGAATACATCAAAATAAAACTTTTCTGATAGTTATTCAAATTTTAGGTGCTAATAAACATCAGTGTTTAGCTCAAACTCGTCCAAGTAATTCAAAGTAAATTGGAATGTCTAATTTCGAAAAAAAAACACAAATTCTTATCATGTTCGCCTGCTACTAGTTTAATTCATAACTTAAAAGTGTGCCAATGTTTAAATAGTTGATCAAAAATCGAAGATTTGGTGGTATTTTATAAATTAATTTTGGACAGTTGTTATTCAGCGAAATATCTTAGACATCTTTAAAAATTAAATTATACACGGTTTTTTGCAAATTTCTATACTTCTGAATACAACCAATGGCTGGCAATTTTTTGTTTTACTTTTGTTAAGCTGTACCCATGAACGAGTTTAATCTTCATACTGATATTTAAGTCTGAAAGATCTGAAGAAAAAAACTCTCAGAATAGTTCTACTTTACTAGATTTACTTTTCCAAATAATTCATATTTATTGACCGTTTTTGTACAACGTTGTAACTATTTAAAGATTTCGATCTAAATTTCCAGAAATATTCTTACTCCAGAAAATCATGACTAACTTTAAAACAATCAAAAATAGGCGTATAATTTCCTCAGCAAAGTTGTTAGTCATAAAATTTCCTATTAATGAGCTGTAAAAAAATGCTTTTAAGTATTATTTGGCTCGTCATTTTTGAGCACCTCACTCCTGATTGAAGCGATTTCGATGGGGAAAGTGGAAATACCAACTCCCTGTTGCTAACATTTCGTGGATAGAGGGCGGGCTTTTCTCCCCATCTATTGGGACGTTCTGTCACACGATGCACAGTGGGCAAAAATTGAAAAAAAAAACCGCTACTAAATTGAATATCTCGGCTGCCAAACGGTTTCAGTCTACATGCTATACATATTCTTATTCTTGGTTTTCCGGATAATCCGGATTGACGGGTAGAGTGGCCACATTATAAAAATTGTCCTAGATGCTTGCGGTTTTTTCTTCTGTGTCGTTCAGAATCATGAGATCAAAGCGTATTTAATGAAATTCTAAATCATGTACGTTTGGAAGCCACATTATGATTCTACAATTATAAAAGTTGTCTCAGAACCTTTTGATTTTTTCTATTTTGTTCAGAATCGTGAGATCAAACCGAATTTAATAAGGATTTTACATGTTGGGGTAAAGTGGCCTTATCCTGGTTCACCGGATAATTTGAATTGACCGATAAAGTGGCCACATTATAAAAATTACTCTACTTCTGGAATGAGATTCTCTATCACTCCCACGAGCGTAGTGTATCTGCATTAGACGCGTAAGTGTATCTGCATTAGACTGATGCAAAATTAGAAATTTTCGCTTCACGGTGCTCAAACGGCTTCAAAACAGGTCCTGATTAGCCTCCCAAAATTGAAACTCATTTGGTAAAAAACTGACTTGGCGCAAATCATTCGCAGTTTATATGGAGATTACTATGGGAAAACCAAACATTTGTACATTGTCTTCTACCCATTTTCCATATTACTTTTTCGAAAAGTTCTATATTTATTCTTACGGGAAATTTTCTAAGCTACAACTTTGCGCAATATCGTTTTTCAGCCAAATGTCAAATTAAATAGTTATTAATTGTTTAACAGATTGATAATATTATGGCATGATCAAGCAGCTGTTCTATTGGCAACACTGTATTCTGCATTGTGACATAGTATCCATGATATTTGTGCTCTATTCTCCTGACCAGTAATACCAATGTTGCCTGCTGAACAGTTGAATGAGCATAATCATAAGACATCAGTGAATTTAATCATTCATAACTTTTGTTTCATGCATTCGATTGAAAAGTGGTTTCGAACAAAGTTGTAGCTGAGAAAATTTGCTACAATCACTGCTATCATTTTTAAGAAGCATAGTGATGTAGTGAATTGTTAGATAGATAAGAACAAAAACATAAGTTTTTCCACAGTAAATCCCATATAAACTTGAAATGGTTTGTGCCAAGTCAGTTTCTTACTAAAGTAGTTCAAATTTTGGGAGGCTAAGCAGGACCCAATTTGGAGCCGTTTGAGCACAGTGGAGCGAAAATTTCAAATTATTCATCAGTCTAATCTGCATACGGGTCCAGAAGAATGATGAGTATGATAAGAAATCAAATCTTGATCAAGTCGTGTAATAGG